AACTAAGAGGAAAATTAGGTTGATTTCTAAATTCAAGGTACAAATTTACACAATTCTTAACTCCCGTGACGATGTCCGAGTAAAGTGGGCGTGTATATCGGTCATTGTGTCTGTTGTCCTCTCTCCTGCTGCCATGTCACCTGTGAAGCTCATTGGTCTGGTCTGCCTCTCCTCCTCAGCTGTGATCCCCCAGACGGACACAGACTCCCTGTGCATTCTTGTCCTTCATTTTCGGTCCAAGCGTGGGTCAATACTGCCCTTCTGCTGCTAAAGACACTACTGTTTCATGTCTTCCCATTTCTTCCAAGACAGCTGCCAGCATGCTCAGGTTTCCATCTGGGAAGTTCTGTGCTTCCCAAAGATCCAGGATTACGCCAGTTGGGCTCGATTTGGTGGCAAAGTAATTCAAGTACCTGTAATTGGGAATGGGAAAATGTGCTGAATGGCGTGATTTATGGATCTATTTTTCTCTTCAGTTTTTACTCAACCTTTCTGTTTCTCCATTTGTCTTTTTAAGTATCCTGGTCCCACTTGAGTAACTGTGGTTTACAGAGAGCCATCCTAAATAACTAGCCCGTACTTAATTAGATCAGCCCCAGACGGGAGACGTGATGTTTAACTTTGTTAACCTCAACTCTGAGTAAGATAATTTAAGAGACAAGATGTGTGTGGGTCATATCCTAAACAGGAAATCGTGAGACTTATGTTTTCTTTCCAGCCCAGGCTCTGATCGTCTCTGACAGGTCACGCCCTGTCTTTTGCTTGGTAGTGACGGCAACACTCTACAAAGAAGAGGCTCCCGAGGTCTCTTTATAACTAAATATCAGTGCTGTGTTTAGCATCTTAGTTACCCATCAAGCATTAGGTCCTGCTCAACGGGAGATGCAGAAGAATCATTACTTTAGGAAATGGATACGTTATTACTTAGGGGGATATCAGTTTTGCAAAGTGGATCACAAAACTTGATATTTAACAAATGTCAAATAAGCCCAGAATGTCTCTCAACAATGTGTTTGCAAGTCCATGGTGCAAGATACAAAAAAGAAGCTTAATACATGTTTGCAGAATGAAGAATAAATAGATGCATGGATGGAAAAAAATGAATGCTGGCCCCTGTCTAACAGTTCTCAGTCTTGGAGCCTGGCCATACCCACCTGTCCAGGTTTAGCTTATGGGCCAGCATCCTCCAGTCATGACCTCTCGTTTGTGGGGCGTCCAGGCTGCTACAGAGCTTCTGCCGGATAGGGGGAGGGATGCTGAAAGCACTGGGTCCTGTCATGGTGGTGATGGTGCTCGCTGGATCCAGCAGAGGCAAATCGATGCCAGTAGGTTCCTGTAGTTCAGGCACAGGAGCAACACAGCATTATTTCTGAACACAAAAGCAAGTCTTATGGAACCAATCAACATCTTGCCTTGCTCTGAGCGATAAGAAGAGAATGAGTGCTATTATTCTCCTTAGTCAGAATGGCTTCCTCCTGGCTGAAAGCTGTGATTTGCTCTGTGTAACCTGGCTGAGAGGAAGAGCCACATTTTAAGCTGACTTTGCAGAGCCTTGGATTTATGGGTCTTCAGTCAGGATGGGGCTCGGTGGAGAGCTGTGGTGTGAGCCAATAACAGCTTTTCTAATGGGAGTCTCCAGGATGAGACAGCAGAGACGGAACAGCAATGCTCCCAAAGGTGTAGATTTCAGGAAGGGAGAAATGTTCAAAAGGGCAGTTCTTTGAGAATGAAAGATCTGAGATTAGAAGGCTGAAAGTTCAGAGCTTCTAGAAACTGTCTGACCCTGAGGGGCATTCCCCGGGCAAATGCAGAGGTCCATGGTCCTCTAAGCTCTGCAGAGGATGGCTCGGGTTCTGCTTTTGTTGAATGAAATGCAGCACAGCTCGCCTCTAAATGATATCAAATTAAGACTAATTTTTTAAAGAAAATGGTGAACACAGTATCTTGCCTTAGGGCACGCTGCCAACAGCATCCTCCAATGACTTTACCCCTTATTTTTTTAGAGCTAATTTTAGTAGAGAAAAACATAAATTGGCTCTTAAAATAGTTTCAGCTCATAAAACAGCACAAATGTAAAATCTGAATTTCATCTGCTGGAGAAACTCTAATCATTTTCTGATCACTTCTGCTGGTTGGAAAAGCAAAAGCAAATGTTGCCTGGAAACTATTAAAGCAATAAAAGAAAACCTACGTAATCTACTTTAAATGTCACCTCTCCCTCCTTTCTTAGGGCAGGTAACTCCTTGGTGTACATAATTAGTTGCTGGAGGATAAACAGGCCACACATGGTTTCAGCCATTATGAAGGCTCTGGTGTCTTACAGAGCGCTCAGCTCAGGGGGTCAGTGCCACCACTGCCCAGAGCCCCCCAGCCTTGCTGCTCCTGCACTGCAGGGGTCGCCGCTGTCTGTGTCCCCATGTTGACTGACAGCGTGTTCTGCATTCCGGGGGCAGCTCACAGCTAGGCCTGTGTAATCGCACTGCACAGGTCCATCTGGGGGCTTGGGGGGCACAGCAGAGCAAAATGAAGTTTTTGCCATAATACACACAGTAGTGTTGGCTGCAACCACAGTATTTGGCCTCAAAACCCAAAGCCTGGCAAACTGAGATGCTGAGGATTCCTTCTGCTCCTTTATGTTAACTCCACCACATACCAGGATTTCAAAGGCTGGTATGAAACACAGAAGCAACCAATGGGAATTGCGGCCCTGAATGAGGCCACAAGCCGCAGATCTTTCCCCGCATCGGGCACAGAACTCTTTTCAAAGGACCGTGAGGAGCGAGGGCTCCTGACCTCGAGGACATGGGGCTTAAACAAAGGGGACCAAGAGCGATCCGAGGGCCCGGCTCAGTGTTTCTAAGGGATCTGTGCTGGGGAGGTCTGAACCCAGGGGCCCAGCACTTACGTGGCATAAAACGAAGTAGGCGTGGGTTGGGAAGGTGGAGGCGAAGAGAAATCACAGCTACTTCCACAACTAGTACCATCGCCCACGTGGAGGCCATGCTCGCTTCCTGTCTGGATGGTAACAAGAGGGCCTAGAAGGAAACCACCAAACCCCCAGTACCACCCCACCCTGACCATACCGGGCTGGGCTGGGGTTAAGTCCACACAAGTAGGGTCTGCTTTTTGTAGTACTGGCTCGTGTCCCCAGAGATTCCTCGCACTGTAGGCCATATTAACTCCTTCCTGCTTTCCTGTTATCTGTCCCCATCTGCCAGACTAATCGTCTTAAAGCACCTCACCGCTGTTTCCCCTTTTCTCTCCTTCTCTCTCTCTCTCTCCTTCTCAGTAAGAGGTGTTAAATGCCCCTCCTACCACACGGAGTCCCAGTGCTTCATCGGGCAGCCAGACTCCTGCACCACCTGCTTTAGTGGCGCTAGGAGGCCCCAGAGGTGACATGTGCAAAGTGCAGAGCCAGGCCTGGCACGGACTAGGGGCCGCACACTATGGCTCCTGCCGCTTGACAATCTCAGCCAGCCTCTCTCAGGTTGCCTTGACGTGACTAAAGCTCGACTCAGCCTGGACCACTCACTCTTCCAGGTGCCTTTTTTAAGGATGCATCTCTAATAGTTGTTCTGCCCTCTCCATGAATCTCTGTCGGGCAAACCCCTGAAAGTCTGGACCAAAGGGCATGTCCCCTGAGCCTCCCCGGGAAACCCGCCCAAGGGCATCACGTGAACCCGGAGACATCCTACAGCACAGTTCACAGCTCTCCTCAGTCCTCAGAGTCTGCCCTATGCACGTTGGTTGTATTTCTGTGTTACTTCCATTGATTTCTCAAATTCTTGGCAATGAGAGTGTTTTTGTCATCCTGAGAACACACTTTGAGACTCAGCACAGTGACCTGCACGTGGAAGCTTCTCAACTCCTATTGGTTGAAATGAACCTACTTTTCCTGATACAGAAAGAGGATGAAGCCAGTTCCTGATAGAAGCCCACGCCACAGAGTGATGTGTTGAGCTTCCTTCCAGTTACATGTGGAGAAGGGCACGGCTCTTCCCTCTGTCAGCTCCTGAGGGAAGGCAGGGGAAGGCGGGCCTGCCTCTCAGGAAAGTCCGCTCGTGTATTCGTGTTGTCGTCCTTTTCTCTGTGAATAAAGCACCGTCACCACTTCACGTGGGCCCTCAAGTCCTGAGCCTCAGCCCTGGCCACTGGCCTGTTGATGCCTGTGTGGATGACACAAGCTCAGTAGGACATCATTTCTCATCTCTCTTCCCAGAGGGCTGACAACAGCCATGGAAGTAAAAGAAAAATACACATACACGTTTACATTTAAAATTTCCTCCAGTAATTTCAGTTGCCATTAGCTCTTCCTTTACGTCCAGGTGAAAGCAGAGTTTGCTCCCACGGAATGCTTATTACAGTCACTGTTTATGATATTGGTACCATCTGTCTTTGACGTGATGAATACCTTAGTTAAACATATGATTTTTCAACGTTAGCCAAACAGCTGCTCTGGGGACGCACACATTTTCAGCGCGTCACAGTGGAAACGACCTTCCACTCCCACGTGCCGACTCTGCCCAAAGTCACTTGGAAAAACTAGATTTTCCCAACAGTCGTTTTGAACAAGTTATGGAAAACGGAAGAGGCAAAAAGATGGGATGGCGGTAGCAGAGAGATGTTACTTTGTACATTTTTAGTATTACTCTTCGTGCACAGAAAAGTGCTGCGAGTCCGTAGTCAACAGGGGTTATAAGGACTTCGTCAATGGCTAAAACTGAATAGGAGGCCTGAAGAGACTGTAAGTTTCTCTCCCGTCTACACCCCTTTTTCTCTGGGTGGTGATGGGTAGCTGCCCCATTATTACTGCCCCCATTCCTCTAAAAAAGAAAGAAAAAAGCTTCTAGCATCATTTACATTTTGACATTCATTCATACTCATACTTTTATTCTTCCAGACATTTTCATTCTTAAACTTCATCTCTGTGAGACCTAAAGCTTCTTCTCTGGTTAAGGAGTCTCTGGCCAGAGTGCCCAGAGAGGACCACCCGGCCGGCTCTCGCCATCACCACGGTCTCTGTCAAGCACAGCCTGGCCTCCCGGGGGCAACAGGTCCTCCTTCTCCTCCTGACTAGAGAGGCCAGGGCCGCATGGCGCTTTATCAAGGGCTGCTGACTGCCTTGAGTGGCGGGGGCTGGGGCGGGGCGGGGGCAGCACACTCCTGGCAAGTCAGCTCATTCTCAGGAGACAGGATGTTGGAACTGCAACCCCAGCTCACCCGCAGCTTGCCGCGTGACCCTAGGAGGGAGCCCTGCGCAGAAAAAAGACACCACAAATGGAGACTTTTCTCTGGTCATGCTTTGTCAGTCACAGTGTCCCCCTGCTCAGAGCTTTGGATGAGGATCCGGGTCTCAGGGTTTTCCAGAGCCAATGGTTCATCAGCGCAGGGCCCTGCTCCCCAACATCAGTACCCAGCCCACACCTCCCCCGCTGTGGGCCACATGCACCCGCATTCAAAGGCTCACCACAACGGTGGGGCTCAGTGACCCAGAAGTAAAAGCAGCAGAGTGCCCTTTAATCCCCAGAGTCATCTGACTCCGGTCATTTCTGCCCCTCCCTCTGTTAAATGTGCCTGTCTGTCACACACGGGCAAAGGCCTCCGACACGACCGAAGGGGTGGCCTCTCTGAGCTGACTGCCACCAAATTGCAAAAGAAATCATCTTTCCTGTATGGTGGCACAAGAAAGACAGTCCTCCAATTGTGATCACACTAGGCAAAGTGTCTTCTCGGTGAGGGGGTGGCGGACCGAGCCAGGAAGGGCCCTCAACAGCCCCTTTTCATTGGCGGCTGCATCTGATCCACCTTTTCATCCCACAGCAAACGCTCACGCTGAACAGAGAGCAGGCATCAAAGGCGCAGGCCTCCTCGCCCCCTCCAAAATCCCGCGGCCTTTGTTGTCACTGGAGCTGGGTGGTTATTGAACTTTGCAGACCTGCTGGGCCTGGAAAGTGAAAACACCCTCCAGAGCCAGCAGGGGTGGTGCTGGGCGCCTGGGAGATAGGGCCTGCGCATCGAAGGCCCGGCGGTTGCCATGGCACCCTGACACCGAGATCATTCCTTATGAATGTCACCGAGGTCTGTGACTAAAGTTGTTTATGAGTCAAAGGGGCTGTATGCTGTGTGGTACAGGATCTTACCAGTTTCCTAGGAACGCTTTTTATTGCTATCCCAGATATATGGATAAACCTTTCTTAACAAACCCAATTTCTACAACCGTGTTTACATCAAATTTGGCACAGGGATGCAGACACTGTCCATGGCTTGTTCCTATTTTTGGTTAAAATCGTTTGAAGTTGAACGCTGTGGACCGTTTGTTGTGTCTATTCCAGATTAGTATTTTACAGAGAGGTCACAGCCTTTTGCTACAAATCACGTGCACAAAGTGTCTCAGATAATCCTCCCATTGGTGTTCTGTTTCCAGAACTTGTAGAACAAGTGTTATTCTTTTTATCAGGGAAGTGGAGAATCTAAGTGTGAAGGAGAAATAACTGACTCCTTATTCCTGGCGGCCCCCCCCCCCCCCCCCCCCCCCCCGGCACCCTCTGGGAGCAGAGCTGCAGCATTGCAGGGAAGACGCGATGCGTGTTCAACCACACAAACATGCATTTCTTCACAACATCTGTGTTTATCGTATCCAATTCGAAGTGGCTTTTTAAAAAAGGTCTCATTATTATCATTATTATTATTATTGATGAGTATTTACGAGTATTCTAGTAACAGGATTTTCTTTTCACTCCTGTTTTTGTTAGCAGTACTGGTAGTATTTAGGTATTGACGAGACTTGCCTCACCTGCTCACACACCACCGTGGGCCTGGTCACCAGTTGAAGTCAACAGGCATTGATTCCTTGGCCTTTTCTCTTTCTCCCATCATTCTGCCCCAGAAAGGGAGGAAATGTTTCCTGGCTTTGTCAGTCTGTTCTTTCTGCTTGCTCAGGCAGGGTCTTTCTTCTCTGAGTCTTGTCATGAGAAGCATTCTCTGTTAAATTCACTTAACATTGGGGTCACGTGACCCCACATTGACTCCCCTCGCCACTCTGTCTACCTTAAAAGCAGTGTGCTTGGAGGAAATCAGGAAACCAGTCCTCGTCTGAGTTTGTCGTTGTCCAGCTGTGCTACCTTAGGAAAGTCTCTTAAGCTCCAGACCTCGGTTTTCTCATCCGTACAATGAAGGGGTGGGATTAGCTCATCTCCAGCTGGGTGTCCCTGGTGAGGCCTCCTGGCTCCTTTGTCAGTCTGAAGACCACAGCGGGCTCTGACCTGGATCAGTTAGAGGGTCTGTTGCCCAGGCTCCATTATGCCTTTCAAATAGTTCCGTCTTGGAAGATAATTGTAACCTGCAACATATTTGTTATGCTTTCAAGTCATGTCTCGTGTCACCACATTCTGCTGTTCTTGAGAGATGGCATCCCTTTATTATCCTTTTCTTTCCTCTCTTGGGACCACTTGCCTTCCTGACTAGTTGCAAATTATGTTCTATTATTGTTGTGGTCAAAATTTTTTAAATTAAAAAACATTTTTAACTGAAAAATAGTCAACAGACTACTTTGTGTAAACTATGGTATTTCCTTAGGACCATCACAGGCTCTTTGTTTTAACACTGCAACTCAGTTCATTCTGCAGGTGGGGACAGCCCAGTGGCCAAACCAAGACTGAAAAACAAGTGCCCATGTGTATGAATCAGATCCTCCAAAACGTGGCTGTGGCTTCCTTTGGGGCTGGTGCCATTTAGGCTGCTCACTGTATTTGAATTAGAAATAATTTTAGACATTTTCTCTCTTCTTTCCACATTATTTCCTCTCCTGACTATTCTGGTGACTTCTTGATATTCCCAGGCTCCTCCAGTCTCATCTTTGAGGAATTATCGCTACCTTGGAGTGGAGCCTTTTCTTTCATGCCTTTTCTTTCTTATCATCTGTTTCAGTGATGTATTCTACAGTCTGTCTCTCTCTGGTCACCCCTTTTACCATATATAAAAATATGTTACACTTACCGTGAAAGGGAGAGACTGCAGTAATAAACCAGTTCAATGGATAATGTTTGTACCAATG